TTATACCAATTTCGGTACATGTTAAGTGAAGGGACTTATGTAAGGTGTTTTAAACTCAGCAATAATAATACAAATTTTCGGCCACATACGTCTGCAAGAATTTAGCCAAAGTTTGTTATGTTTGCATTTTCTCATTGCTATACTGCACTATGTATGAAAATTTCAGCTGTGACAACTTACTTCACAGAAAGGTATTTTGATGAAAAATTATTTTTAGACATCTTAAGCTGTCAACCTCTACGAGAAAAGATCACTCATTTCACAGAATTGTCATTTTTGTCCATAATGAGACGCCCTTTGCATCATATGGTGGTCCAATTAAAAATCACCTTTTACCTAATGTGAAAGCAAATAAACAGTTCTTTGTATGTGACAAGTTTCATTTTTGCAATTTCTACTTCAAGGAATAAAATATTTTTTGAATTTTCCCATCAACGGCAATGGGGAACTTCGAGGCGCCGGCTGATGTATGACCAAATGGCGAATGGGGAACTTGGAACTTCAAAAATTATTTAGGGGCAAAGCTCTTGAGGCCATGGGTCGTTCCTCCTCTGTAGTCGTACTAGTATTATGTAGCCACTTCATAAGTTGCACAATAGATAGCGTTAGTGGTCTTCACAGCATATATACAAACAAAATGATGATTCGTGGGGCAAATCGTTCGTCCGTACATTTGTGCTTTCGTTCGTCTGTGCATCCATCCGTCCGGGCTTCCGTGTGTCGGTCTATTCGTGAGTCCATCCGTCTTTCTTTTCGTCCATACTGGCGTCAGACTGTCTGTCCATCTGTTTGTGCGTCCGGACGGACGAACGCTACGTTCCACTCATCATCATTCACTCCGTGGATATGCTGTATTTTTTTTCAAAACATAAATTGCTATGACAAAATTTGGCACATGAAAAGAACTGTTTATTTGCTTCGATTTAGGTACAGTCTATTTTAATTCAACCCCCACATGGTGCAAGCTGCGTCTCATTATAGAAAAAACAATTATTTTGTGAAGTTTGCGATTTTTATCGTAAAGTTTGAAAGCTTGAGAGGTCTAAAATATTTTCCCTTCAAATATACATTATGTAGATTAAATATTCACTCCTCAGATATTCATTCAAAGTGCAGTATTGATATAGAAAAATGCAGATATAACACATTTCGGCTAAATTATTTGAGGCGTATGTGTTCGAAACTTGGTAATAATATTACTGAGCTTGAAAAACATTACGCAAGCCCTTCATTTAACTTGTAGACCAAATTTGGCACGGAAGAAGAGACACTTTAGAAATAATTTTTTTCACAAACATCCAGACGAGATTCCGGGAAGTTCAGGAGGCAGCCATGTGACCAATAAATTATTTGTTTGCAAAATATTCTACCAGTTGCCCTTTTTAATGCAGTAAAATGAGCGCGATTTTTTTTTCGAATACATTTGCGGTGGTCACCAAAATGGCTGGGACGTCTAATGTGGAATGACCCAATAGCCAATACTTCCATTATATAAACGTGTCATTGTGAGCCAGTCCAAGAACACTAGTATCATTCGCATTTTAATACGTCACTGTACAGTACCTAATTTTACAAGTTACCTGCACTGAATACCTTCTCAATGCGCATACCATCATGTATGCTCAGTGGCATTGTGCTTTTGTTCAATACAGATAAAGTATGTATATGTTGTTGCGTGTCGTACTGTATTCTTTTTAATAAACTAATCGAATGAGTACCATGGTAGATCTGCAGAAATACACATGAAGCTGTGTTGATGCATACGTAAGCATAGAACTTGACATTCATTTAGATTGATTGTTGCATGCAGCTAATGGAACATTATCAACTTGGAGCAGCACCTTTTATTTGCCTGCACGAGCAAGCTTAAAGGGTAAAGTAAGGTTCATATGTACGGCACAAAAGGTATGATAATTCTGCCACAGCGCGCTTTTGATTGCGTTTATTGCTCAGCATACCTCTTCTACCATTTCTCACTGCAGCGGAGCCCGATGCCTCTGTATATGCTTGCTATGTACTGAATTTATACTTACATACAAGAAAGCTGTTAGTTATGCATGGTGCACACTGTATGTTGCACGCTGTGAAATTTCAGTCATTGTTCCTTGTGTATTTAAGTTAGGTTTTCGGGATCGAATTTCCTGTACAGAAAGAACAGCTTCGCCCCACTTCTCTCGAAGACACCAGCCATCTCGGCAGCTGAAGATGATTGTGCAAGCAGCAGTGATCAGTTGTTTTGCAGTTAGAAGTATACCAACACTGACATTACATTAACACAACCCCAATTACACTACCTTGTTGAATGTTCTGTCGAAATTTATTATTACTGTCGAAATTTATACTGCGAGATGTAATAGGTTGTAAATGGGACTCCAGAAACTCGCTTACTCTTTCTACGTATTTTTTACAGCCGCCTTGGGGGCAGGTGCCACAACCACCGGCTCGTCATGCGCGGGGCCGAAGGAGTGGCGCGGGCTGGTTTGGCGGTGCCCCCCTGACGCGCCGCATCAGCGTATGTAGGTCCATAGAATGGAAGCGATATTCGCCGTGCTTCTTACTAAATGCAATGTTCTCCGTCACCTTCAACGTAATATTTCTTTTTCTTTTTTCCAGTAGTGCAGGGGCAGTGATAATGCGGCATGGTTCTCTTCACACGCAGTGTACACAGTGTGGCGGTTGTTTGCAGTGCTAGACACGTGGCTAGGGACTCTCCACGTTGTGCACAAGCCTGAGGACCACGACAGGTTTGTAGAGCCAGGGCCATACCGCTGGCATTGGAAGCAACCCGAGGGTTTGGGTATGTATGCCTGATAGATGTCCTTGTGTACCCTGTTTGAATAGATTCCGGTAGTTTACTGGATGCAAATGTGAGTATTAAGTGTTTCGTCGGTGTTTCCTTATTATCACTTCTAATGATGATTCTCTGTACATTAGTGACATTTTGGCTCCTCCACCCCTCCAAAAGTTCAGTCTCAGTCAAGTCAAGTAAGTCCATGTCAGAAACCACTCCGCGAGTTGTGTTCATTGATCTGTGTGGTGTTATGGTTATTGGTATGCCACCGAAATCTGAAAGACGGTATATCTTTTCAAATTGTTCTTTGTCACGGATTTCGAGGAGAAGGTCTCCACTAGCCACTTTGGTTACCTTGTATCCTGTGCCAAGAGTTTCGGTAAGCCATCTAGAAACCAGGAAAGGAGAGACGGTTCTGGCTCGCTTTTCAGTTTTTTCACAGTGGATAACATGATAGTGAAAATATGTTTCTTTGGGCTGGTTAAAAAAGTTTATATCATCGGTGCGTACCCGCTTTAAGCCGGTACGATCAGAAGTAAGGGGAATGCTCTGTGCATGCCTGTCTTATTTTTGTTCAGCAGCGTTGGCGGCCACCCACCACGGAGCCCAACGAGGGGACGCTGCAAGTTTGCGGATGCTAAAAGCTTGCAGACGTCAGCCGTACAACCCTGCTATAACCCAATGCGCATAGGCCAAGGTAGGCTATTTGCACAGGGTTAACCCTTGCCGCCGAGAAAATTGGAAGTAAGCAGAAGAGAGAAGTAGACAGGAAAGCTAAAAAAGTAAGAAAGACGAAGATGGAGGGAGAGAGAGATAGGAAAAGGCGACTGCCGATTTCCCCTGGGTGGGTCATCCCAGGGGTGCCGTCCACGTGAAGCCGGGGCCAAAGGGGGTGTGTTGCCTCTGCCGGGGGGCCTTAAAGGTCCAATCACCCAGCGTCGGCTTAACCCCCAGGATCCCCTTTTCCCCGGACACGGCAAAGCCATGCACGGCTAGGCGTGAGAGGGAGTCAAAACTCCCCCGTTAGCTCGGGTCCGTGGTGTCGCTACACACCAAACGCCTACCTGCGCAGGCGCCCCTGCGGGTGTATGTGTGTGTGTGTTTGTGTGTGTGTGTGTGTTTGTGTGTGTGTAAGTGCCTTCCCCGTCTTTGTCTTTTACGGCCCAGTTTACGTACACATATATGCACTGGTCTCATGCAACTCATTCAAGACCATGACACCTTATTTTATCAGCTGCATGCATGCAGGTATAAGTGCAGTGGGTGAGACCAGTATCTTCCTTCTTCCCTGTCAGCCGTAGAGAAGGTTCATATATGCTTCTTCCTGAGAACAATTGAGGCTTGGGCCAGTTGGTGATGCATATTTGATAGAATGAAGTGCTGTGAACGGCTCTCCTCAAAAACACAAGTCTAAGCGTCACCTCCCGTGTCTTTGTTTTTGTTGCCCGTTAATTGCGCTTCATTTGATCAAGTATGTTCATCCATATAATTGCCAACGTTTTAAGGGGGTTTTCAGTGTACACCCCACTCGCATGGGTATAGCTTCATCCAACACCCATAGTTTAGGGGTGTTCATAAAGACCCATTAAAGTAGGGTGTAACTTTTCTTTACACCCTACGGTTTCAGGCTGTTTCTAAAGATTTTATTGTTTAGGGTGTTCGTAGACACCCTAAAAGTGTGTTGCCCATGAGAAAAACAAATACACCCTTGTGGGTGTAAAAATATTTTGAGTGTAGTAGTTGAACGTGATAGCGACATCGTGTTCTCAGTGCGTACTTGAGACACTTGGTGCATGAAACCTTTTCGATTTTGCTACGCACCCTTACGAGGCCTTACGGGTTTCGGCACAGTAGCGTGTGTGCCTTTTGTAGTGGCGTAGCAGCTTTCAACCACAGAGCCATTATGATGATCACATATTGCGACGTCTGTTGGCAATGTAAGCTTGCACCACGTATTATTACTGCAACACTTCGTGTTGCATTGTGAAGCATGTATAATCGACGTGTGTGTTTTTGAAGCATGAAAGCTGCTTGCAATGAATTTACAAGAAGAGGAAGTTCTTTCCACTGTTTTCACAAGCAGAGGCATGACCTTGTGGTTGAACCTCCACTTGCCTAGCAAAAGACCCGGGTTCGATCCCCACTTGAACCCAAACAACCCTGGTTCGCTACCCACACTGCTCCAGAATTTTTGTCTTTTTTTATTTATTTTATTTGCATCGTCCTACATTTTTCGATCACGCATATCATGATGAGTTTTCGCTTACAACTGCTGACCCCGGAATTTCCACGAAAAGAGCTTTTTGATGGTATCGCGGTAAATGATGTTTTTTGACTAAGCATGAGTAAGCTTCAATTTTTTTCTGAATTTTTATACTCGCATCACTCCTCTCAACTATGATTTTCAATTTTCATTGTTAGTAAAACTATACAAAATACAAGGTTATGCTATACTTTTTCGTATGCTGTTGCTCTTTATTCTTTCTGAATTTCAAATAATTTTTACTACCACTTACCACACTTTCGCACTACATGTGATGCTATACTGTACACTGCTATGCAAAAATTTATCCCTTTCTTTCTCTAAGCTTGTATTCTGCCTGCCTAACACCAGCCTACAACATCAGAAAGAAAACAACAGTCCGAGCTTCTAAAAATCAACAAATATAAAAGAATGAAAGAAATCAGACAAATATATGGTCCTGATTGTGTGGTAAATTCGTGAGTTTCTGTATCTTAGACATATTTATTTATTTAGAAAATGCTGCAGGCTAAGAATAGCTCAGGCCGAAGTGGAGGTGGTACAGTATGAGGATTTGACCAAAAAAAGGAACAATACAGGAGGTACAAACTAACTTGTCCATGTATTGCTTCTCTAGAAGTATCAAAACTTGCAAATTTGTCTCGCGTATCTGCATCAGCACAGGCTGTTGAATTTAATACAGAGTGCGTATGGATCAAGGCAGCTTGGCTTGAAAACTGGGTAGTTCCAAGCACCACATGTGTCGAAAAAAACTTTGTTACACTCGTGCCTCTTCGATGTCATCGACTCCCAGGTGTACTGTTCACATTCGCCATCTGCGAAAAAAAAGATGACGAAATTATAGTGGTATAGTACAGTAAATCGCCTCCCCCCCCCCCCCCCAATAAAAAAGACGACCTTAGAATTCGGCTCTTAAATATTGACTGTACTCTAAGTAACGACTCTGTGGAAGCCCGACGTCGAGTGGCTGCTCCAAGTGGTTTAAATGCCACGATGCAGAGCGCCACGCGCCCTGTGGCGTAAGCAGTATGCGCACGTAAAAAGTCTTTTTTCTCAAATATCCTTTTCTGCGTATTGTCAACAACTATGTACCATTTTTCAAAAAGTATTGATTTGATTTTGATGACATTTTGTACGCAAGAGCTACAACAAGCTAGAAATAATCTGAGTTATAAAATAACAGATTTCATAAAAAGTGCAGCAGTAACAAAACTACACTACAGTAGGCACACTCAGTGGCGTTGTGAAAGCAGTATTTTTATTTTTTACAAAGAATTCATGAAAAATTAATATTTTTTGTTCCTATGTAACCTAGTAGTCCGTACAACAATATGGCAGATCATAAATACATCCCTTAAGATAGTCGCAGAAAAAAGGTACATTGAATTAGTGAAGCCCTTTTAAAATTTGGCAGTGAGCCTTAGGAAGAATAAGCAACCAAGGCAAACGAAGACATGTCACCTGATACCCACTCCAGTTTGTGTAAGCACGTAAATGTTTATAGGAATACATGCAGCCGTTTCTAAAATATTACGCTAAAGCTAACATATACCGTTCGCCCTACCATACCCCGTTAGACTTGACATTGTAAACTTACGCCAAGGCTATATATTTTATACGTTCTATGGTTTCGTTGCACTGTTCTCTTACGTCTTTAAGGGTGCTTGTTGTTTGCTGCGAAAGTTGACGACAAGTAGATAACAAGCTATTGAAATAAAAGCCGGCCGCTCGCTTGCTTGGCAATATGAATTGGTTGATCGTTGATGAAAGCTTTGTTTTTGGACAGAATGAGTGTAGACACCAAACTCTTCTATGATATGTTTTTCCTTTTTTACGGGCAGGACTGCCCATATTCAGCCCAACACAATGACTACCATACATCGGCTCGTGTGTTTTGTCAATTGTCCATAGTTATTATTACGTGAAATGTATGGCACGTTTGACTATTTTCGAAATTCTCACGAAGTGCTTGGTAGCATTCGGGTGACGTGTGTATTGAGTGTGATGCCGTGACAGTATCGCAATGAGTATTAAAGCGCTCACGCCGACAAGAGGTGTAGCAGTCGGTACATTCCCGCTCAGCTTATAGTGCATTCAGACTATCGACGGATTCCAGATTTGTCGTGGACGCGGATTCACGAATTATCCGCCTGCAGACACATCGGCACCACGGGCAGGGTCTTTGACAGAACAGCTGGATTTTTCTGTGCTTAGCTGCACCCGCTATCAGCATACCGGTTCGACAGATTCAACAACATGACTGCCAACAGAACATGATGCTTTGGTAATGTCAAGCATTGTGGACAATTTCAGTTTGTTTAGGTTAAGATCGCGTTGTTGGCGCAATGTCTGGATGGCAAGAAAAGGCCGCTGTAAAGAGAGGAACTGAATGCGAACCTGGCTACCGTTGTGTTCGAGGCAGCGGATAAGAAGGAAGGACACAGCGATGCCCGAGCCCAGAACGGCTTTTTTTTTTTTGCATTGCATCAGTGCAAACGTTGCTGTATGTGTCCGTTACCTATCGTAGGTAACGGACACATAGAGCAACCATTGCACTGATGCACATGAGGTTTCTTTTTGTTGGTTTTCATTTTCACGTTGAAATCAGTGTTCATACATGGGCTGGGTTTCGTGACTACCGCTTTCAACGGCAGCGTCACTTTGCCGGTCTCAAAATCCTGCGTGTGCATCCAATGATTAAAGCAGCAACTTACTCGCTACTCTAAAACCTGCCGAGCTGCGTGCTTTACCAGAGATAGATATCATAAAGGTGATCGTCGGTAAATAGGGCCCCAGAAGTAAAGTAGCCACAGAGTCTAAATCATCAGTGAGTATAGCTATACGGCTAGAGCTGAAGAAAAGTTTAATGTTGGCCAGCGTATTTGGCCGCTTAATATGTGAAAAACTGGTTAGGCCAGCCAACCGCGAGTCACGTGGACGAAGCGCGGTTGAATAAAATCGCCGAAATGAGGTCATGTGACAGCCGCTCATCCCTCCGAATCCGGATGCGATGTGTCACGTGAATGTACCACAAGCACCGCACATCTCCCGAAACGCCTCCCTTCAACAAAATTGCGTCGTCGGACTAATCCGACCATGGCCCGCACGCAAGCAAGTGACAGTGATAATTCATTTCGCTGTAAACAGAATAGTTCTTCTTGCGATACCTAGAATTTTCATATCTGTCTGTCACAAGCCACCCAGCGAAGGTTTAACCCGATTCTCAAAGCCAACACATCTTGATTTTGTGGCTTCATTCATACGTGCGAACGTCTTCAATCAAAAAAAAAAATAACACGCATGCTTGAGGCGCGAAATCAATATATACGCTAGTAGTAGCCAGTGTATACATTTCTTTAGAAAATGCATGTATAGGTATATAAGGATCAAGGCACTGATTACGCTGCTCTGACAGTGTGACGCTATGAACGAAATAGCGCGTGGTTCCTACGGTCCACTAAAATTGAAGCGCTTCAACAAAATAAAACCGGTACTGCCACTCACAAATGATTCAGTGTTCTAAAAAATTGTTTTTCACAATATTGCCAAATGCCGATATCTCACACAGTGTTTTCAATCAGAATACAATCGTTTTTCGACGTCCTTTGCAGTAAAGTGCGATGATACGCGGCCAATTTTATCCCTTGTATTTTTTTGTGCGATGGCAGTGATGGACAAATACGGTGTCACTTGCTTAACACCCAGGCTATTCGAACAGTTAACTGCGTTCATACTTGAGAACATTTAGACTAGTCTGTGCTCTGAGAGCGTGAACCAGAAAATATTACTAGGAGCGTCGCGCTGTTCCGGTGTGGCTGTCCTGACGCTCATTGCTTTAAATAAGAGGAAAAAATCTGAGGTAATCACCTACGGATCGCTTTGGGACACGGAGTGAATGATGAGAAAAAGCCTCTCGCGTGCTAATGGGATGGGCCTTGTCCTGAATAGACGCCGGAATATATGCGAACAACACTTCTACCGAGTAACTGGTCGAATGCTCCATGATGAGAACTGCGTCGACTGGTTGCACATAAAGACGGAGATGCTCGGTCTTTATTTTGTGGCTGAAATGAAAGTCTCGTACTGGTACTACTATAACATTGAAGTTCTATTTGCCATCTCAGCAATATAACATTTATGGCGGGTCTATGCCTCGAAACGGCGTTATGATTATGACGGATGCCGTAATGGATCAATCTAGAAATTTCGACCACGTGTCGTTCTTGAGCGTTCAACTAAATTTAAGCCCGCGGTCTTAGGCAGTTTTCGCCTGTTTTGAAAATGCGAACACAACGGCCGACATATGATACAACGGCTTTCCTGTCACCAGTTGAGGACCTCAACCCCTATACCACCGTCAGGCTGCTACTCCAGCATGACTGCTCGAATAGCGTGACGGTGTGAATGACACGTGCCCTATCGTTTTCGTCTACATAGAATAATAATAACCATTTTGAGTCGGCCCAGTGCACCCTAAAATGTTTTGTTCAAATGTCACAGAAGTAGCAGTTGCATGCTCTTAAGGTGTCTCCGTTAATTTATTATGTTTAAACTGCGGTATTTTGATTGTTCAAAGAAAAAAACAGATGAACTAATATTCCTCGGAGTGAGATTAACGACTAGGCCGCAAAAAATCACGATACATATCTATGATTAAGGGCTGAATGCATGCGCTGAACAAAAAACAATTATAAAGAACCGTCACTACGATGTGTACCTAATTAGATCAATGTGAGCTCCATCAAAAATTTACATTACAGAATCGTTTAATAGTAAAACAAACAGCTTCATGGGACACTTACCTGGATGCAGTAATATGAAGCATTTCTCAGACTCTAACCAGTACAACACCACGTAAACTTTCGCTTGTTCCTCTATAAAAGAGATCATATGTCAGGTGCTTGAAATAAGGAAACAAAAACAGAAGCTAATGAATAGGGTTAAAATTCTTTGTGCACACAGCGATTCTAGATGACCTCATAAGAAACATTTCCCACCGTAACTTTGTTACCTATTTATTTACTATACCACAGAGGTCCACGTAATAAGCTTTACATGAAGCTGTGAAAAAATTCAGAAAAATATTCATTAGCTCCAAAACCGTGGAAGGCACCCTTCGGTGCCTTCTAAAAAAGAAAATAAAAAAAGGAAATATGCAAGTACTTATAGCCGTAGCTGATTATATAGTTTCTAGCCATATAGTAATAGCATCACCTTTAGAATTTGTCTGTGTTTCCCTCCATGTCAACTATCAAAATGTCATATTTTGTGGCTGTTACCGCCCTCCGAGTGCGACGCCAGAGTTTTGCGAGCAACTGCATGATGCTTTGAATGATATTGTCAAAAGGCACCCGCATACACCTGTTTTTATTCTAGGCGATTTTAACTACCCGAAAATAAACTGGTCACTTCCTTCCTGTTCATTAAGCTCACTTTCAGCCGACAGTTTACATTTCGTGGAACTGTGCGAAGACTTTAACCTTACCCAACTCGTAACGCAACCAACAAGAATGGGCCCCAATTCATCAAATGTTCTTGATCTGATTCTCACCACTGTACCTGACCTTGTCCATTCTATTTCATATATCCCAGGCATAAGTGACCATTGTTTCGTGCACTTCAATCTAACAAGTTCTTTAAGGCGTCGGTCAAACAATTGCAAAACAATAAGAGACTACTCACGCGGCGATTATGACTCAATCAACAGTGAACTCGAATCGAATTTTGAGAGCTTTGCTGATGGCTTCTTTGATCGCAGCGTTCAACAAAACTGGAACTTGTTCAAAATGAAAGTTGAATCTTTAATCACGCGATACATTCCCACATACGTTATCAAGGGTCGCCAACGCCCCCCTTGGTTCTCAACTGACCTAAAAAAATTGCGGAATAAAAAGAAACGGTTGTTCCGTCAGGCAAAGCAGACTAATTCGTTAGCCCGTTGGCACGTCTACAAATCTGTCCTTTCCGAATACAGAGCAGCTATCAAGGAAGCCAAGCGCGTTTTTCTTAATGATACCCTTCCTTCAATTCTTGTAACCAACCCTTCTAAGTTTTGGAAAACTGTTAAACCTAGGGAAAAGATAAACATTTCGCTTACGAACTCAGATGGGCAGCCAGTTCGCTGTCAAGAGTGTTGCATTGCATTGAATGATTTTTTTGTTACTTCTTTTTCAAGTTGTTCTGCTTCTGCGTTGCCGCAAATGCCTAGTCGTGATTTTTTACCCATGTATCCTGTTACCGTTGATGCCGTTGGAGTGCAAAATTTAATTCACAAGCTTAAGTTATCCTCTTCTTATGGCGTAGATGAAATCAACTCAAAGTTTCTAAAAAACACTGCATTGTATTCATCAATTTACTTGTCCTTAATCTTTTCGCAATCTATTCAGACCTCCACTTTGCCGCTTGACTGGAAGGTGGGGAAGGTGGTCCCTCTGCACAAATCTGGTAACACACAGTCTCCTCTCAATTACAGACCAATTTCCCTAACCAGTGTTCCTTGTAAAATGTTAGAACATATAATTTACTCCAACCTTGTCTCATTCCTAGAATCAATTCTTTTTTACTCCCTACCAGCACGGATTCCGAAAAAGTTACTCATGTGAAACCCAACTTCTTTATTTTACTAATGACATAGGATCGGCTTTAGATCGCGGCTCACTTGTGCATTGCATTTTTCTTGACTTTCAAAAAGCTTTCGATAAAGTACCTCACCAATTACTCCTCCTGAAATTAGTGCCTTAAACATTGACCCGAACATTCTTAAATGGATTGAATGCTTTCTGACTAATCGCACTCAGTTTGTAACAACTAATGGCTATAACTCACCTCTTTCTAAAGTAACATCCGGCGTACCCCAAGGTTCCGTATTAGGACCTTTACTCTTTCTTATATATATTAATGATCTCCCAGACAGCATTAACTCCGCTATAAGGTTATTTGCAGATGATTGTGTAATTTACCGCGAAATAAACAATGAATATGATAATCAATTTCTACAGTCAGACCTTGACACTGTCTCAACCTGGTGCAATAAATGGCTTATGACTCTCAACTCTAACAAATCTAAATGCATGTCAATATCCCGGCGATCTATTTCTCCCCCCTGTACCTACAGAATTAACGCCGTTCCCCTCCAGCATGTCTCTTCATATAAGTACCTCGGCGTTTACATTACCAACAATCTATCTTGGCACACGCATGTTACCTACATCTGTAATAACGCTAACCGAACGCTAGGATACTTACGCCGCAACTTTTCTCGCGCTCCGCTGTCCCTCAAAATTCTATTATACCGATCACTAATTCGCCCAAAGCTTGAGTACGCGTCCGCTATATGGGATCCCGTGCAGCAAAATTTAATTAACGCGTTAGAATCTGTTCAGAACCGCTCAGTTCGGTTCATTTGTTCTAATTATTCCCGTACTGCTAGCATATCAGAAATGAATCTAACCTCGACCTACCCAATTTAACTGTCCGGAGGAAACTGGCGCGACTGCATTTTTTTCATAAGATATTTTTTCACAATCCATCAATGAAGCGAGACCTCATTTCACAACCGTCATACCACTCATCGCGCATTGATCATCAGCATAAGGTTGCCATTCCGTTTTGCCGCACCAAATTCTTTTCAGCAGCCTTCTTACCGAAAACAGCCGCCGATTGGAACCACCTTCCCTCTTCCGTTGTATCAATAACAGACCCTTTGTTATTCAAGACTGCAATTTCTCAGCAATGCTTGTAACTATACGCAGTTTCCATTATCTATCTTTGTCTTGTATGTGCTTGAATTCTTATACATTTTTAGTTGACTTATGTTGCCTTCCTGATTTGCGCATCTGATACTTGTTTCTTTATTTTGTCTTTTTTTCTTGTGTGTTATATATGTTGTACCCACCCCCTCTGTAATGCCCTACGGGCCCTGAGGGTATTCTAATAAATAAATAAATAAATAAATAAGTAATCTCCAATATAATACATACCACTTATGATTTAGACTTTTCTACTTTACACGATAGGCTAAATGTTTTCAAGGTTGTGCAAGCTGATTTCCAAAAAGAATATTGCTCATCTCTCATCAACCTATGGCACATAGGTTGAGGGGAGATATCTGATCACATATCACCGCCAGGAATGTGGTTAGGCATCCTCACACGTAAATATTGCAGAGGAAATGTTCACTTGAGTAAATCCTCACGAACCAGCAAGTAAGGCTACCAGCATAAGTTTGAAACAATGAGAACCACCGGATGTTAAGAATCTATGATGGTCACCATAAATGATATCAGGTGTTTGACATCCCAAACCATCATATGGTTAAAGGAGACACCGTAGTGGAGAGCTGAGGAAATTTCGGCCACCTGGGGTTCTTTAACGTGACCAATCTAAGCACACAAGCTTACAGCGTTTTCGCATCCACAAAAAATGAAGCCGCCCAAGCTGGGATTGAATCCCGCTACCTGTGAGTCACAAGCCGAGAACCTTATTTACTAGACCACCGCGGTGGTGTTATGGTGGTCACCACCAAATAATAATATTGCTCTAACCATTCTTGGTACATAAAAGCTTTCGTCGGGTTCCTTTCACCCTAAAAGGCGCAAAAGTGAACAGTGAGGACTATATGACGTGTTGGAAGCTAATCTTCTGAAATATACATTTACATCGAAACGTCGCAAAACCATCTTCTTACAACAGGATAACGCTCGAGCAAATTCTGGTGAACAAACTATTTAAGTTGTAAAAAACTAAAGAAGATTAGAACCACCCAATTACTCAAGACACACTTCTGATGGGGCAGCAAGCCATTTTCGCATCATTAGACCATTGAAAGAAGCGCTGAGCGGAAGATATGAAACCGATTCAGCATAGATTGATGCTGGTCAAAATTTTTTACAGGAGCAAACAGAAATCTACTTTCCGACTGAATAAACAAATTATTTGTTTTTGACGAAAGGGTGAAGCAATAAATGTTATGATATCATAATCGAATGTTATATGAAGTAAGCCTCGAAGCTTACTCCTTTGCAACGAATGTCCACAAACGCTGGATGAAAAATGACGCCTTGATTGTCCCTATTTTCTAACTTCGGCTGCGAAAATCCCTCTTTGCCTAAAGTGTCCGTATAATTGGATATCGCCCCGCAAGCCGATTAAACGTTGTCGGAGGTGTGTTGAAGTGAAAGAATGCTATACAGAAGAATTATGTGTTTTCGAGATTTTCCTGCTAAATTTCGTTTACCATCGTGAATTTAAAGATATACACTGGTTATTTTAAGTACGCACTGAAGAAAAGATGTTGCTGTCTAGTGGCTAAGGTACTCGGCTGCTGACCCGCAGGTCATAGGATTCAAATCCCGGCTGCAGCGGCTGCATTTCCGATAGAGGCGCAAATGTTGTAGGACCGTGTGCTCAGATTTGAGTGCACGTTAAAGAACCCCAGGTGGTCTACATTTCCGGAGCCCTCCACTACGGCGTCTATTATAATCATATGGTGGTTTCTGGACGTTTAAAACCCAAATATCAATCATTCAAAGAAAAGATGACGCTGTCCCGTCCGACTTTTGAAAGCGAAGCTTGAGGGTCCATAAATTATTCGCAGAAGTGAATAATCGTCGCCTGATTGACTGATATTCTTCGTATTCGTATGTGCCCGTACGGGTAGTTCATTACGGGGTGCGTGGCTCTCGTTCGATAGCCAGTTACCATCCAAATATATGTTGTTAAAGCAAAGGCGTAATGTGTGTTGAAGGTGAATTTACGTTTGCCGGTCCTCTCATCGAGCAGCCTACTCGCTGGAATGCCATTCCGGCCACCGCTTGCATCCCACTGTTCTCCGATAAAACGAAGGACAAGTGTGCCAAAGCCTATTCCAATCCCATCTGCTCGCCGCCAGTCGCGCTTCTTCATGTCATTATTCAAGAGCAGACCCCCCACTTTTCCCTAGTCTCTGCGCAAAATTGTGGAAGACTAGCTGGACAACTACCTGTGAGTCAGAGCTTCTAATTTAAAGAACGATCTTCACAAGTTCTCTCACCACAGCACTATCTCTGTGGGGAATTAAGGCGGGACATTGGTCCTTAGCCATGACATTGAGCGCACCGATTGGCCTAGCCTCAAGCAGAAGCTTTGCCAAGTCTTCGCAATGGTAGTGGCCTATAGGTAGCACGCTGCAAAATCCAAGATGGCTGCGGAAGGATGATCAACCAGTGAACTCGCATAACAAAAGATGGGACACACAAACGTACTCTCGTGCTGCTTTCACCTGACGAACTCTTTATCGTCAAATTAACGTATATCAAACCAAAGAACTTTCCCAACCGATATGAACTGCCGAATGTTCGCTATCTCATTTTTTGCTGCAGTGCAGAGGGTGGTGGTGCCAGCTGAACGACTTGTATCAACGATGCGTAGCGTAATCATGTACGTGGTACAGAAAACTTCACGAAATAGAATTCACACATCAATGGAATGGCACTCCGAGATCATTAATTCCGAGCCTGTCTTGCAGATTTGCCGCAGTAGTAGGCCACAGCGAATAGCACGCTGTCGCATCTGCACATGACCGAATGTTTAACGTAGCGATGGTTTGCAAGCATAATACGCCGTCGTCAATACTTGCGCTCTAAGCATCATGCAGCTTCTTCTTCAACTGAACACAAGCATTTAACTTCTCATTAGGCAGCGATTGTGTCACAGCCATGATCGGACTTAAACCATGCGCAATTCCCTGCACTCAGATGTTGCAGGTTCCATCATCGCGATGGAAACAATGATATGGACACGTGTACGCTTTTCGCAAATTCCAAGTTGCGAAAACTTGTCGAACATCAACGTCGTTCAGATAGCACCGGTGAAACTCAGTAGAAGTGAGCATGGACTGTAGTCGTAACTGTATACTTAATTGCCCTAAACATTTGTTTTTGCTCGTTGAGCTCGAGCGTGTTCACGGCATGCAGCGCTTTGTAATAACCACTGTAATACAGACACATTCAATGTATAGTAAAGAGTATGCATTTATTTAGAGATTGCTGAAGAATATTACACAATAAATTCAATAAAAATGACTTAAGAGCGTGAAAAGAACATGAACGCAAGACGGGACGTGAAGTGCACTTCCTTGCTTGTGAGCTGGCAGTTGATCCTTTATCGTCGCTATCACTCTCAGTGCGTTGACAACCATGTATGTCCAGTGCGGAATCTTCGATGACAAAACCGTTTCTTTAAACATCACTGCTGAAAGTATTCTGGGGGATTCTCTCTGGCAAACGACGGATAGCAGCAGCACCAATGCGCCATTCACCACGCACAACACCCACACGGCGTCGCACACCACGTTTATGTGAGGGTGCGGAGATCATTTCGCTTCGATACCCGACAAGAAATAAATCACTTGCAGTGCGCTGCCATCTGTCAACAAACGCAGAGAACAAGCGACGCAGGGTAGGTCGAAGTTCAGAAACGGAAATCGTGAGCCTGCGCTACTTTCGGCGTACAAGGAACGCTTTGCAATTTATGCACTGCAAGAGCCCTGAAGAATGCTATACGCACGTAAAACAAGGCCAGTTTAAACTGGAATGATCAGACGACGACATTTAACTATCCAAGGTGACGGCGGAAAATCTCGCGTAGCTGATTTGTGTACTCTGCAGGCTATGATCAAAAGCGCAAGTTGCCACGTATTTTCACGAAAAGTTCATCTCTTGGAATAACGAATGATGTTTATTGTGTCAAGGATGGTCCGGTATGGTCACTGATGCACGAAACATACAAAGTGGTTTATGTTCGCTTCTTTTTAGCGCGTTAACAATGCGGCTAGCACCACCGAATAAGGGAGCATAGGGAGGGTCTGCATACTTGTCATGCTTGAGAGAACGCTCCCGAATCACGATAGATGGCACGACAGTCTATGAAGATTGTGAATTACGCGTTTATAATATTCAATTCGCTTTGCCGAAGAAGATTCCCGATGCTAGCACACAACATCCTGGCGAGGCATCCGCATCGTACATCGAAGAGGTTTTCGCGCTCTGCCGGCGTGTGAATTCATTGATGTGCAAGCCAGACAAACAACACCACATTCTAAAGGGCTTCGGCACAGTTGCCACCAGTACCCTCACAGTTCAAAATCCTTCTAATAGTGCTGACTTCCTCAACATGTGTCAGCCCTCGATTGGCCTGTTTGACTACAACTGAGCTCTGGCTAACACCGTCTTGCGGTGGACCGGAACCTATGTGACTTGATCAGGGAGACTTTACGGGAAGAAGTGTAGCCAATAAGCTTTTCGGCATTTCCCTATTATCTCGTACTTTCTTTAGGACATGGCCTGGTGAGATATTATCCGAGAAGAAATAACATTCATAGAAACATTTCGGCGCACACACAGTAGATGAGAAAAGGTCGCTTTTCTTGCTAGTTTATTTTGCGCACATGCGCTCTGGAGCTACTTCGGGATGTATATTTTGTGTACTTCTTTCAATAAACTGAGTTGTAAGTTCGCGTTTAGATGTATCCTTGGCTTTCGATTTCCTGGCTACTGTGCGCACGGCAAAAGATTTTAAAAAATGTCCTAAAACCAACTCGCCCAACGTTACCTAATAGTACAAGAACTCACATCGTTGACCGGCCTAACGCACGTACGACCACCATACAAGATGGCCACTGTATACCTCGGCTCTCAGTATTTCTGAGACAAGACGGCCATTTCATTAGCCTGTATGTCTCACGAAATAAACAGTTGCTAGACCAAGACAGTGTCCGTCCTGTCTATGAGCTTCTTCGTAGTTCTGTGTGGACATGCTTTCAGTGCATTATTGAGGATTAAATCCATATATGCATGAACTAGACGAACACCTAGCACTATACTCAAAGCAAGCTCACAACGATATATAGAGAAGTTTACGCAAGCTGTCGAACCATTTTCATTCTTCTCTAACGCAATTGCACCCATGCATCCGATGAAGTGCTTTTTTTCTTTCTTACCTTTTTCATAGTGGGCTCTGATTACCATCGCTGGATAAGGAACCTCATCTAAGTATCCTATCTTCGCATGTTTGTGTATCTTCCCTCTGAAAATATATTACACAGAGTTTGCTTATGGTTCAGCACAACATCATTATACAAGCAAAACAGTTCCATTGTGCTAAAACAACAACTTGCTGTTTAGGTCACAAAATATTAGTCGCGGAGCTGTTTAAGGCACATACGAATTTCTGATAATTTGTTAGCCAGAGGTCTTAGCTAAGCTGAAAGAGTGAAGCCTGACAAGGAGGAGAGCATGGGTAAACTTAAGTTGGTGCGAGAGAAGCCTAGTATAGCTAGTTTAGCCTAGTCCAGAAGGAGTATCGGCGTATTTAGGATGGAGCGGCGTACAGAGCTGGAGAGCAAAATTCAAGCTATCGTGTGAGCGGGAAACTGGTGTGCATTGGGGGGCCCCTGATAACCTTTCCGCATACACTGACGGTATCGTATTTGTTCTGGAACGCACGGTAGAAGCCAAGGTAAACCTCAATTATGCCAATAGTTCTGCGTTAGAATCAGGCTCGGTAATTTTAGGTTTGTTGAAGCTGCGCATAGGATTAACTTCAGCATAACTAACTGGTTCACAAGAGTAGTTAGTGAAGGAATGCTTATCGAATATATATAAAACTAATGCTTCAACACCGCGCCATCAAAATAACGGAACAAAGAACAAAGAGAAAGGGAACGAACATGAGTGAGTGAGGGCTCGCAACTATTGTGTAGAGAAGACCTTGTGTTTTTCTTACACCGAAACAACGGTAACCTAAAAAACACAGTTCACTAATAGAATTCGCTAGGATTGAAGTGGGTTATGTGAAAATGTGCGCGTCAAGTGATGGGCGCCAACGCAACTGCCCTATCGTCTTTCACTATGCATTTGGGCAGATAATTGCACAACCGTGGTTCCAGTGAAATCAACAACCATGTAATTACATCGGAGTTAATGGATGTGTCGGGAGACCTCAGTCATCGTATAATCCATGAAAAACTAGGAAGAATATTTATCGGCACAATATTTCCCTAGTCCATCACGTAAGTTCAGTGAACATACTTGTGCTGCATAGCTAGAAATGACATTGCAAAAAGGGAAATGATCGAAGTGCTCCTTGCATTGGTACACATAACTTATAGAACCGAAATATCACGTTGAGGCGAGAAAACCATACAGATAAATAATTTTAGTTATTATCTGTCGTACCAGTATGAACACCTCTGTTTTAAGAGCAGTCCCGCACATCAATTATTGACACATTGTTTTTGCGTATTGTTAAAGGAACCCACAACCGATACTTATGGTACCCGTTTTCATGAGTCCAACGGAAAGCTCAACTGACAGAGCTTGTAAGTCACCAAATGGTAACGCGGAAAACACCGTAGAACATTTATATTCAGATCAACGATACTAGATGTAGCCTTTACAGGAGTGGATGTTTGTTTAAACGCAAAGATATGGAAGGCGTGTTGGGTTTCCTCCAAATTTTATCGTAGAAAAACTGTCCGCTGGAACATTCCGAGCGGTATAGAGAATGAAGCACGACATAATACACGCGGCGATCTGCAACAGGCTAGGGAGAGAGTGGCGTACAACGCGTGCGCATTGCGAGGGAAGGCATGAGCTACTTGGCATCGCTCGAACACCTGCGGCCAGACGTGCGCGGTGCGGACGGATGGACAGCGTTAACAAGGTTAGTCAAAAAGCTGCTTCCCATCTAATAGGCCACTCAGGCTCCAGTTGCAGATTGATATGCTAGGTCACAAGTGTGCTCTTGAAAATAGGTCGACATATTCGTGAACTAATTGCGAACCAATCAGTTGTCGCAATAAACCTATTGGTTAGTTAAGTTAGTAAAACAAAGGTCAGCGGACCTTTGTACCTTTGTAGCAAGTGAATGGCTCGGCTCGAAAGGTTCGTTCTTTACGAAATTATTACTAACCACGCTACTTGCTTCGTAAGTGTGTTAAGTCTAACGGACTACATTTTGTGCGTGTGCGTTGCCGTATCAAGATAATTATATTAAAAAGTTATTGAATAAAATAAGTAACATTGTTCACGTAAAATTTTTATTTTCTGCTAACTACTCCATCTTAGTACCGTTGTAAGTGCGTATCATAGCAGATCACAGCCGAAAAGCGATCACATACTCGTATCATCACACCATATTTCTATAATATAAATCACAAAAGTAAGTGTTCTCAGTATGAATGAATCACAAGCGATAGCACGTAAACGCTTCCAAAGATTCACATAAAAAACAGCGCCAATAATGAGGGACAAGAGAAAGAAAGAGACAGACAGCGACACTGTTTTTTATGTGAATAATGTCGTACCAACTCGCCCAAGCAAGCACGTTAGCTACTTTCATTTCTAGTACATTGGGCTCTTTAATTGTTTCACCGTTCAGTCATGTGTCATCGTTAGTGCCGCTGTCAGCCTCCTTCTTTCTCTTGTCTCTCGTTATTGGCGCTGTTTTTTATGTGAACCATGTCGTACAAACTCGCCCAAGCAACCACGTTAGCTTCCAAAGAATCTGCCTTTGAATTTTTCTGGGCTTCCCTCTGGCGCTCTGGAAGGGTTTTGGTAGGGGCCGCGAGAACTTGCAATGCTGAACAAAGGCCTCTGACTCCGAAACGCGAACACATTTTGTGACAAAACCGCCAGGTAAGGGCGCGTGCGCTGCAGCATCATGAAAGGGCGGATTTCAGAACTTCGACCAAGCCCCTTTCTACTCTACCAGCAGCTTCAAAGCTATTTATGCAGCTACTGTGAGATCACACACTACGTACTGGTTAGCCACTATATATTTTAAAAGAATAATTGACGTTTGCTACACATCACCGTATGCTGTTTATTAGCTAATATGTGAATCATCGCGTAACACAAAACTTCTAAACTTCTACTCCAAACTACTCAATAAAATTCAAGTTAGCAGAAGGATATACGGAGTCTCATGATTGCGGCAAACTATACTTCAGCATTTACGAACTATCTGGCAGCAGAAGTGTCTTGTTGAAGGGGCCCTGCAACACTATTTGAGCATGGTCCGAAAACGCTGCTGACCGATAGTAGAGGCTCCCTGAAAAACGCGAGCCAAATATTATAGCGCAGCACGCGGCCTGAAATTCACAATAAATTATCAGAGTCAGCTAAAAATAGCTTTCTCTTCTCTCGACAAATCACGAAATATAAGCCCAGTAAGCCCATTGATCAACCATGTGCTGATATGAACGTGGCGCGCTCGGTTCTTACAGAGGTCGCCGCGAGAGGCCGTCACTTTTCCATGCGTGCGCGCGCAATCCGCACTAGCAAAGCCACGTATTCGAAGAAAAAAATTGGCCCGCGTATCTGCATGTTATACTGCAAATGTCGTCGAAAGACGATAGTCTTGCATCTAGGAAAGTGAACAAAACGTTTATTTGATGTTCAGTGCAAGAAAATGGGTGAACTAGTATTCCGGAGGTGCTGCGCCAGAATGTCCTCGAGCGTGCAGCGGAGGCGAACGAGCGCATCACGTCACGTCACAAGTGAGACATGAGCGCTATCTGGCACCTATCATGGAAAACAAAGCGCGCCGTGGCGTGCGCGCCCGTCTCGGAGGCGATAAGGTGTAGAACAAAAGGCGACGTGTTGGTGCCACCACCGTGTCGCCTTACCAAAACAATGTAAAACTTGCATTTTCTTGCAAGCGTTGCATCGTCAGCGCAGCATAATGAGCGCTACGGTCTTTAGAATTGCTTATGTATGCCTTTTCTAGTAATAGACGCACATCGCTGAACCTTGAGCAATATTGGTGGGCTCTGCGGATGGTGTCGGCGGTTTGGGTTAGTCGTTAGGCGCTGTTTAGACTTTAGGGTATCGTTAAAAATGTAAAAACAGACAAACGGGCAGTCTGACCAAAATTTTTTCGTCGAAGGTCCCCAAGAAAGACTATCGTCTTTAAAAGAAAAAAAAATGCTCATGGTCACCAGTTGCGAATGACATTTTTTTGCTTTCCCTCCCACCCTTCCCTGCTCAGCTTCTAGCGCTTTCGTCGGGACGAGAAGAGAGAATGTGATTGCAGCGTGTGACAAATCATTTTTAAAAATTTTGCGGCGTTCAATTTGTCAGGTAATACGCTTTTCCAGTGATTTAATTCCATAATTACAAAAAACAGTGTTTCAAAACCCCTTTAGGTTAAAACGCTGAGAAAGCTTCTCTGGTTAGAAAGGGCAAATGTTCCAAGCTGTACCAGGTGCTGTCTTGAAAAGGAACGCCATGAAGAGATTAAAATAAGCTGGAAATAAGTAAATACATGTGTTTAAAAGAGTTAAGAAACTTTTTTAAAAAAATATGTGCGACGTAGGGGTATAACGCTTTGTTCGGATATAGCCATTGTTAAAGGGGCGATGACACAGACACCGAAGGAATTGTAGCTTTCAGCGAAACATGGGAGTGCAAGGTTTATTCTGATGTATTGCATAAACCTAGACGTTCAAATGGATATTTCACTCCAATGAGTTCACTAGAGTCGCCGCCGGTAAGCTCCGCTCACCACCGGCGACCGCCGTTTCGCCATAGCGCTTGTGACGTCAATGTATCCTTCAAGTGTATCCTTGCAGTTTGCCACTTCACTTTCAGACCCCTCAAAATCGTCCAGTTTTTAATGCCAAGCTGAAGATAGCCGAAATGTCTCTGTGGTACGCGCAGTGGACCACGAAACAAAATCGGTGGGCAAGAAACAGCCACTCGCAAAGCCAAGTAGCTTCTTCCATAACGGTTCCTGAGAGCACCAGTGTGGTAAGACACTCGTGTTGCTGGTAACTTAAGAAACATATTGGTTTCAAAGTTAACACTCGACCAAATGTGATGATATTTAATGTATAATTGAGGTTTCAGCGCACGAAGAGACGCACAGGAACACAGGCCAAGTGCTTGTCATGTGTTTCTTTGCGTCTCTTCGTGCGCTAAAACAACAGTTATACCATATATCTGAACCAACTAGTCAAAGTGTCGATTCCGTCACGCTGTTATTACGCAGGCTTGCTTTTGAACACGCAATGATCAAACCACCTAAAAGAGCATAAGAACGGAAATTCGGCGTCAAGGCCCCGCTAAGTGAACCATTTTGAAAAACAAATCTGATCCCAGGTTTTTGGTGGTACGTTTGTTGTACTTACAGAAATGAAGATGAAGCTTGGCATAAAGTGGCAGTGTCACCGGCATTTGTAATGTTCCGACCGGAATGCAAGTATGTGTTCATGCATCACTTTCATTTCATTAACGCTGCAAGCAACTTACGCTACTCCATTGTTCCAACTACTTGGTCTCGGACGCCTTCGCTCCCAGTAAAAGAAGTCGTAATCGGTGGTGTTCAGCCCATTGTTCAACCAGTAGATGCAATCCCGCCGTGGATTATCATAAGTTCGCATCGTCAACCAGATTTTTTCTCGAGTGCTCAACATCTGTATGTGGAGGAAAAGAAAAAAAACCATGAACGCACATATGACAGTAGCTAGTGTTGTGAGACTTGGGAAGTAAAAACAGCGCAAAAATAGAGACAAGGACAGAGGAAGAGATGACACCGCGCTGACTCGCAACTAAACTTTATTGGAATATACACACACATATATCCAGCATTCAACCCGGTCACGTGGAAAACCAAAGGTGTCTGCGCATCAAAGCAATCAAGGTACGAAAAAAGCCTGATAATATTGAACATCAGACGCCTTTGGTTTTACACGTGACCGGGTCGAATGCTTGATATATGTGCGTGTATCTTCCAATAATGTTTAGTTACGAGTCAGCGCGGTGTCGTCTCTTCCTATGTCCTTGTCTATATTTTTGCGCTGTTTTTACTTCCCAAGTATGAACCACCAACTAGCCTAACTTTTCCTATTAGTGTTGCAAGACACAAAAATATTGCACATTGAGGCGGTGCCGTGAGCTTTTGGAGCACGAAGGAATTACTTAGCTCTTTCAGAAAGGGACCTAATTCAGCCTTTACAGCCGGAAAACTTCTAGGGTGATTGCACTGTGGTTGGTAAAGTAGTTTTTTAAGGCGAGGTTTTCCAAAGCACACTTTAAAGCTGTCAGACAAAATTATTAGTTTTTTCATAAGCTCCGTCGCAGTCATTTTAATTGGTAGAAGCGAGAAATTTCCTAATCTTGGGTTTCAAGATAGAAAATGCCACTTTTCATTTCTGGTAGTTATTTATATGGGTTCTGATATGCCGACTTACCTGCCGAGGTAAAAATATAGTTATGGTGCCCGAAATATCAGACTATATTCATTAGAGATGTAGCAGTCGAGATGTCGATGGCATTGCCTAGGATATTGGGTAGTCGCTAAACAAATTTTTTGCTATGCTTTATACTAAAGATGATGTCCCGAACCCAATGTTTACATAATTTGAATAAATCAATCGCCTAAATGGTGTTAGATTGATAGATGTGTGGGTTTGAACGTCCCACAACTACCATATGATTATGAGAGACGGAAATTTTGACCACCTCGGGTTCTTGAACGTGCACCCAAAACTGAGCACATGAGCCTACAACATTGCCGTCTCACGAAAATGCAGCCGCCGCAGCCGGGATTCAATCCCGCGACCTGCGCGTCAACAGCCGAGTACCTTAGCCACTAGACCGCCACGGCGGGGCACCTAATTGTGGTTGGGCTAGCGAATAGAGGCTATTGAATCTCTTACTAGAAATAGCTAGCATAAAGAGTGCCGGTCTCAATAACACTCCTAGCAATTTTCATATAGATATGCGCAATGGTGTACTAAATAAATTACCGTGATTTCTTTCTTGCTTTCTTCTTTCTTCTTCTTGCTTTTGAATGGCTTAGTAATGTGCGAATACTCGGCTGTTTGTGAAGGTTGTAGTAAGTTGGATCTTAGTAACTACACATTGAGTTCCTTACTTTGTATATATTCTAAATTGCTTGAAGACATTGACTAAAGCAGTTATCAGTAAGTGTACATTATTTCAATTTCATAAATTGCAGTCTTCATGGTTTTCGTAAGCAGAACGTGATTCTAACTAAGGAGGTTGAGTTGACTGACAATCTTTCTAGTGCCTTCATTAACGCAAAGAAGCAGACACATTGTTCGTTTATTTTGCCAAATCTTTTGATATAGTTTCTCATCCAAGACGTCTCCTAAAGATTGATAAAGCTTTCAAGAAATTGTTGAATAATATATGGTTTTTATTCTACCACTCCTATAGCAATGAGTATGCTGTACTAGAAAACTAGTGCTATGATCATTTTTTTTGCGAATATTGTACTGTTTGTGAGGGTGGTAGTAAGCTGGATCTTAGTAACTACATAATTAATTCCTTAGTTGTTATGTGTTGCAAATTACTTGAACGCATTAGGTAAAGCAGTTATCGGTGTGTCTAGGTTATTTCAATTTCATAAACTTCAGTGATCAAAGTTTGCGGAAGCTGAACTTGATGGTAATTAAGATGGTTGAGTCAAATGAAGATCATTATTGTGCATTAAATCAACGCAAAAAAGCATAGATATTATTACTTTATTTGGAGAAACGTTTGATAAAGTTTCTCACCCAAGACTGCTCCTAAAGATTGATAAATCTCAAAATATGATTGAATAATATATGTTTTTCCTTCCACTACTTTCATAGGGAAGAGTATGCTGTACTAGAAAACTAGCACTTTTATCCTTTTTTTCTCGGAAATGTTGCACTGTTTGGGAAGGTGGTAGTAAGTTAGATCTTACTAAATACATACCTAATCCCTCAATTGTTATATTTTCTAAATTGCTTGAACGCATAGGGTGGAGCAGTTATTGGTATGTCTAAACTATTTATATTTCATAAATTTCAGCGATCATGGTTTTCGGAAAGAGAACTTGACGGTAACTAAGGCGGTTGAGTTGACTGAATATATTTAGAGTACCTTAAATCAATGCAAAAAAGTAGACATAATACTCCTTTCTTTGCCAAAGCTTTTCCTAAAGTTTCTCACCCAAGACTGCTCTTAAAGATTGATAAAAATGTGATTTGATTGATATGTGAGGCTTAACGTCTCAAAACCACCATAAGATTGTGAGATATGTGGTGGTGAAGGGCTTTGGAAATTTATACCGACCTGAGGTTCTTTAACGTACACCCAAATCTGGTAAAACCTTCAAAACTGTGCTGAACAATAGATGGTTTTCATTCTACTACTCTCATAAGGAAGAGTATGGCATACTAAGAAACTAGTGCTAAGATATTTTTTATATCTAGAGTGGCCCAAGGTAGTGTGTTGGTTACGCTGCTATTTTTAGTTTCCTTAATTGATATGCCCAACATATTAGAGTGTGCCTTCTGTAGTGCACCGATCACTGTGTTCAATATATTGATACAATCTCCTCATGACCAAGCCCTTCTTTATGGAAAATCGCGAAGATATAAATCATGGACCGACAGTTGGTAAATGCTGTAAGCACGAAAAACAATCGTTACGTCGCTTACGAGGATATAGTTATGTAATGTCGGTTACGAGAAGAAGGATACGTACTCCATTAACGACAGCGTCTTAACACAAGTGTCCGCGCATAAATATCTTGTTACCGTAGCCTCCCGCTGAAGATGTAGCATTCACATTGATAATGTAGGTACCAAGTCATGTGTAGTGGTGAAGGAGCAAGGCAATCAGCAGTGAGACCGGCTCTTGGTGCGAGGCGTGAGTGCTCTGCGCACGTGTTGTGGACGCCGAGCCCCTTCTGGGATTTCTGTCTCTACAGGCTCTCTGGCCGCTACTAGACGTCGTTAACAAACCCCCTTTCAAAGTGGTAAAAGTGTGCTGGGTAGTTAAATCTGGAGGTTTGAGGCCGGAAGCTGGCTCCTGCGCAAACATTGCCTGAACAGACCACCGAGCAAGGCGCCTCCCAGTAAAGCACGGCCCACTTTACAGTGGTCATCGATACCATCCTGCGCCAACGTGATTCTCCTTGCGGGCTGGCCAGGCCAGAGGGTTTCAGGTATAAGGGACCCTCCCAACTTTCCTGTAAAGCTCTACTCAATAGATGTTTTCACTCTCTCTCTCTCACCGGATCTGAAGACGAAGATTGGCTGCTGCTGTTTGAAAAAGTGAGCGCCGTCAACAAATGAAACAACCCTTCCGGGTTGGAGTATGTCACGTTTCACCTGAAAGACGTCGCTAGCCTGTGGTTCACAAACCACCGTTCCTGATTTTCAACTTCGGTCGCATTCAAGACCAACCTTGCAGCTGTGTTTGATCACCCTCGGTGCGCAAGCTCTGTGCCGAACAGCGCTTACGCAGACGTGTGCAAAGGTAGGGCGAAAATTTCATGAGCGATATCGAAGATGTCATCACTAATCTATGCAGGTACATGAGCTCTGAGATCGCCGAAAAAGACAACATCACGAATATGCTGAAACACATAGACGATGATGCCGTTCCATTAATTGATTCTGGCGAAGGGCCCATGTCTCGTGTCTGAACTTGTACCTTGTGGCAGAGCTACGAACAACTTCGCAAGCAACGTGCCTCATTTCAGAGGTCGACGACAGCAGACAACTCTCTTGTCATCCTGACCATCGATGGTGACAATAAACCAATGGTGACATTCGGCGGTGCAGATAAAAGAATAACGCGAAGTCGCTTGACAGATTTTGTGCCTCTCGTATCTACCGATCATAAAAGTGCCAACGAACTTTTCAACACCGGCCACCAGACAGAATATTCAGGAGCAGGTCTCCAAGGCGTTGCCATCTGCCGACGTCCACCTCTCCTCCAACACCTGTCGCTGTGAGCAGTTTGCACTTGAGCAACAATATCAACAGGAACATCACTAATAACACCAGAATCGATATACTGATTTGAAGCCCTGGTTCTCTCGAAAATGGTAGCGTGAACACTACATAACCCAACTCTGGTGCACGGCACCAAACAGAAATTTCCATTACCCCACGTGACGGCTGCATCAAAAGATTACATAAGTAAGATGCATAAAATCAGACAGTCAGCGCTCCAACCAAAACTGGCAGTTTCACAAACACTAGCGTCTATTTCAAAAGCACTTCCGAGGGCTGGTCGTTGCTCTGGGATAGATTGCTCGATTGCCAAACGCAGAATGCTTGGGTTCAATTTGTTCTGAGACCATGACATTATTTGTTTGCATGTTAGTTCTTGTCGTTTCTTGGCAGATGTTAAGCTGTTTTGTTTTGTCGACTACAATATCTTGGGTCATATCCTAGGTTTCAATTATCTATGGCACATACCTGTATACGAGTGCCACATACCTGCCCTCGCGTTTGTGCCTCTGCCTGGCGGGAAGTGCTTGACGGCGTACACCTTGGCGTTGTTACATTATTTATGTGTTGAGCAAGGCGTCAAGCTTTTCGCCTTCTTACCCTACCACAATAACTTTGGTTCCCGGCAAGCTAAGGCAGTGATCACGAGAGCACCCTGACGTAAGTGGCTAGAC